GGCTCAACTGGAAAGTAAATGTCCACTTGTGCCACAAAAGCAAGATGAATGGTTCAAATGGGTTGCTTTCTTATGAAGGAAAATAGGCGCAAGGCTCAAGACAAACTTTTCTAAAAGGTAGTACTGTGCTATTAAGTGCAAGTGGTCTTAGACAACAAATGGGTAAAGGCCTAAAAAGGGAAGACACGTGTCGTAGCCTATGGGTCTAAATGCTCAACTTGATCTTTTGAGTCTAATCCTCCATCTTTCTACACCTTTCGACCAGACTAGGACAACACGACATTCGTTTTCACCAGCTGTCTGTCCTTCAAATGGACCAATTGTGTGTTCTTTGAATGGCCATTTTCAGAAGGTTATTAACTTCTGAATCGAAAGAAACTTTTAGAAGATTATTGACTTTTGAATTGAAGAAAACTAAAAGGAAGCCTTTCCCTCAGTCGAAGCTTGTGGATCGAAACAAACATAAAGGGAGCCATTTCCTTGTGTCTTTTTTAGCATGAGGGAAGTTCCTGGCTTCTGAATTGAAGGGCGCTTTTTCAAGGGAAGCAAGAACTTAGTCACATCTTGTATGAAGACACTTCTTGGATCAAACAAAGCTTGTATGAAGCAAAGTATGCAAGAGGCCCTTGGTGCAAGTGGATTTGAAGGATGCATAAAGATGGTTACTTTGTCTCATCGAAACTTGTCCAAACGAAGCAAGCATGCAGGCAGTGAACTTGTCCAGTCGAAGTAGGCTTTGCAGGAAGCACGCTTGGTGAATCGAAAAGGTTTCCTTACAGGGGGCATGTGTGGCCAACATGTCATGGCCTTTGATTGCAACCATGTAGGCAGCGCACTTGTCCAATCAAAAGGCTGAATCGAAGGAGGTTTCAAATCCAAATGAAGGATGTGCCTAAGTTGCATTCGAAGGAGGCTTTAAGTTCAAAATGAAGGATGTAATCCAAGTTGCATTCGAAGGAGGTTTCAAATCCAAACGAAGGATGCACCTAAACTTGCATTCGAAGGAGGCTTAGAGTCAGTCGAAGGGTGCTGGATCGAAGGAGACCTATTTTCCTTCAAATTTGTCAAAATGTTATTTTTATCTGTTTTCTCCCTTTTTGACAGTTTCCTTTTAATTATGGTACTGGAAAATTCCAAAGTACTTGTGCAAGCTTGAACCTTGAGAATCCTTGTGAGAAAGGCCTTGAAGAATGAGAGGACAAATTTTGGGGTACAACACCATCCACCTAGAACTTGACCCTAGCACATGTGTGTTTGTCAACTATGGTTTTTATAGCATAAGTGAGTTTATGGCCCACTTTGGAGCACAACATTAAAAACCCACAATTGGCCCTGCATACTACCCTTACTCTGTCACTTTCATTATTCACAAACGTAATTTCCCTCCCATTTAATACTGACCACTCACAGATGGCATATCTAAAATCATCTAGGGAGTTAAATTGCATACCCCACTGAAATTTAAAATCCTTATTTAAATGCTCTTTCCTAAAATTTTCAAACTTTCACACTTTCCCTTTATCACTATCAGATAAATCTTGGTCAGAGCTATCCAGCTCATCACTCACATATTTTTCATCCTCACAACTTTTCTGTTTGGACCCACTCATAAATTCAGCAACTGAAGGGCTCTCATTGATGGATTTATTTACATCAATCCCTTCAAAACTATCTAGAATAGTGGTGGCTTGTTCATCCTCACTATCACCCAACCCTTCTACGAAATCGTCATCACATCCCTCCATCTCAACATTCTCATTGACACACCTTGGACTACTTACTGAGGCTCCAATATGAGTAACATCATGATACAAGAAAATTTCCCCGTCTAGTTGGGTCGCACATGCGTATGCAGCAAAATCATAACAGTCATCATCCTTCCTAATATAGAAATAATTTTCATCTATTTCACGAATTAAAGTCCATGTTCTATAAGTTCCCTGCTTGTAACCCCAATCGGTAACCAACCCATGGATGTTAAGCATTGTAAATTGATCCAAGTGGAGATCCAAAACTAAAGTACTTACACCCCCTCTGTAAATCGTAACTCCATTGTTCAACATTACAAACTCACCACCATGATGGAACACAGCAATGAACAGATGCTTATTCTGAAAACATTTGGGCAAACATTCAAAACTAAGATTCCACTGTATGTAACACTAAACGAACAAACAACTGGAAGAATATACCTTATCAGCATCAACAGAAGCGCCTCCTTCCTCGTGCTTCTCCGATTGGCTTGAATGTTTCGCCTTATTGAAGTGTTTCTTCTTCTTCGCTGCTAATTTCTTCCCCATGGTGAGCTTGCTAATTTTGTTTGATATTGAACCCTAGATTTTCCAGGGGGTTAATCAGAAGACTAAATATTTGTAATAGACACAAACATTCCAGCATGACTTTTAATAACACAGTCAGCAAAGAATCTAATGCTACATATGAAACTCATAGAGAATCTTGGGGTACAGGATTTTCTGTTTGGGAGTTTATATTTGTTAAGGGGTGAAAATTTTTTTTAATAGGGGATAAATCAAAACTCGCTACTATTGTAAGAGAGTAAAAGTATATTTAATCCTATAATTAATGATGATATTTTTCATTTGTTTTTCATAACATTTATTTGTATATTTGGATTTTTTTTCTTAACTTTATTTTTCATAACTATAAAAATGTAACGTTAATTTTAATATTAAGTTATAATTACTATATAATCATATCAATTTAATTGATATCATTAGTATTAATATATTATAATATTATTATATGATTTTGTTTTCAAAATATTTCTCTACATATTATGGTATAAGGAATGGGTGTATATCTCAGTTGTTATGGTATAAACTAATTGTCTCTAGTAATCAAGGAAATTAAAGTGACTAGTTTTACTCACTTTTCTATTGCCATTGGTGCTAACTAGCATTAATGTGAATTTTAATTTTGCCATATATTATGATTTTCTAAATTTATATAAAACAATTTATAGTGTGTGGAATATAATATATTGGTTGAGACATGCTGGTGTTAAAAACAAGAGAATATAGTTAATTTAGTGTGACAAATATATAAATCAAATTTATGAGGTGATATAATTTAGATAAATATTTCATCACATCCATAAAATGTGAGTTTGTTGATGGTAAATGATATTATGTTATTGTGTTTGAT